ATGAACTGAATAAAAAAAATTATACGAATAATATGATTTTTTATAACCTAATAGTTAATACTATAAAATATAAAAAAATCATTAAATGTGTGACAATATAATATAATATAACTTATGTAGGAACACGTTATACTTATTTAAATATTGTTTTATTGTAAGTAAGGATAAATATTACTAAAAATTTAGTTTATTTCTGTATATTTTTTTTATGTACCTGCTTATATAAAATATTAAGTATTATGCACTGCAATTTTCAATGTAAATTGTATATTGTTAAAATATAGCAATGCATTTATTGAACTACATATAGAATAAAAATAATTTTTTTTTTACTTGGTTGGTAGTGCAGGAGAGGTAACACAGAAAATTATATAATAATTTGCTACATTATTTTAATAATATTTTGCTATGTACTATAACACATTAAAATTATTTTTAGATGCCTAATTCACCAAGTGCATGGGAATTAATAGCAAATGACTATAATGAATTATGGAATATTCCGCAATGTGTATGTGACATTGATGGTAAACACATCGTAATGCAAGCACCTTTTAATAGTGGCACTGAATACTTCAATTACAAGGGGACATTTAGTGTTGTTCTACTTGCTGCAGTGGACACCCATTATTGTTTTATTTTTGCAAATGTTGGGTGTCAAGGTAGGATATCAGRTGGAGGCGGATTCAATAATTCCATCTTGGCAAAAAAAATTTACGATGAATCTTTAAACTTACCATCGCCAAAAGCACGTCTTCCAGGACAACAAGAAAAATCTCCTTATGTTTTTGTATGCGATAATGCTTTTCCATTGAAGGACAATTTAATGAAACCTTTTTCCGGGACTCATTTACGAGGTTCACCACAGCGAGCTTTTAATTATCGTTTATCAAGGGCACGACGTGTCGTTGAAAATACTTTTGGCATAATGGCTTCAGTTTTTCGAGTCTTAAGGAAACCGTCATTACTACAACCCGAAAAAATAAATTCTATTGTTTTGGCATGCGTTCATTTGCATAATTTTTTAAGACGGAGTGAGTCGTCAAAAAATTTATATTGTCCACCAGATATTTTTGACACCGAAGACTTCTAACCAAACTTTAAAAAAAGGAACTTGGAGGAGTGATTCGTCGGAAACCACGTCATTTTTACMTATGAAGAAATGTGGACGAAAATCAGCAGCAGCTGTACACGAAACTCGTGAAAGATTTGCTCATTATTTTGCAACTACAGGGCGTRTTTATTGGCAAGATGAATTCGAATAAATTAAATTGTATTTTTAATTTTTAACTATTGTAGTATTTGTTTATTAACTATTTTAATATTAAATATTWACCAAGTAAAACTAACAATTCATTGTTTTTTAAATAATTATTCAAATAATGTTGTTATTACCTGTGCATCATAAGTGTCTCTAGTATTTTTTGGTTTATTTCTATCTGTCAAAAAACTTAATGGCTTATACAAATACCACGAACTTGTGTAATTATCATCGGTTCCAGCGCCAGATTTTTTTTTTCACTTTATGTTGTTCCATGCGGAATTGGGACTGTATAGTTTTCCATTTCTTGTCAACTACTTGCTGTGAAACACCCAAGATGTTGGCTATTTCATTGATTGAATCTGTCCTTCGGATTCGATTTCTGTATAGTTTGTGATTTGGTTTCTAAATATTCTCACTTTGCTGCACTAAATCAATAAGTTTCAGAATTTGGTCTTGATTCCAGTCTTTTTTGGTAGACATTTTAAATTAATAGATTATTTGATTATAACACTACAACACGGAGGTCACGCAGTGGTGAAATACGAGTACGACTGCATACTGCATAGGTTATTGAAAATAATATACCAAAATACAAAATAAACATTATAAACATAGATTTATTGTTAGAATAATTTTAATGTTAGGATCATTCTTCAGTTTTGGATTTTCTTTCACGAATAAAATATGTGAAAGTGGCACGGTATTGGGCTAAATTTAATAATGTGTAGTTAAATATAGTTATACACAAAATAGTAGTTGTACAATATTATTCTCCACTGTAGTAATAATATAAATATTTTATTCATTTATTATTACTAATAACTAAATACTTAAAGTTCGAATGTACAATAATTTATGTAAAAAAAATACATACTATTTTAAATTTTGTACTTATGTCTTATAGTTTATACCTATCCAATTAATTTAATATAATTAAATAGGGAATAATATTTACTTCTAATCAAGTGTATGATGGTAAATTATTGTTTTTGATAAACCAGATAATCATTAAATAATAGGAACTACCTAGTATAAGTTATATAGTTTCATACAAATAATGAAAAAAAGAATAAAATCTGTAGGTATTGAATGAATATTATTAGTATATTACCTATGTGATACAGCTAGTTTGTATACAATTTTGATAACTTTTACTTTCTTTTGGTATTCATAATTCTTAATTCTATACTTATGATAAATTAAATAATATTAATTTAGTAGTATAGAGTATAGTCGATAATCATATTGCATAATATACTATAAGGTAATAAATATTATATTAGGTAAAAACAAATAAAATATTAATTAATGGGAKCGAAATTACGAAATACATCGTCCGGTCGACTCAATACTTTTAGTGTTAACCCACAAGTAGTTCTTGATTTTACTCCCCGGAGCGCTACTGCAGTGCCGCACGGAGACGGAGTCTACACGGCACGTACGTGAAGTTGGCCCTTCAACTATGTTAAAACATTTTGAAAATTATGCTCAGAGTTAGCAAGTAATTTGCAAGAATTTGCAAGACTATTTTTAGAATTTGCAAGTTCAAATTATGGAAGTTATCGGAAATAATGATACTGCAGGGTCAACTTCACGCAGCCCTACAAAGTCAACCCAGAACCTCCAAACCAGTTTTAAAACATTACCTACAGTTAGCAAGAGTTTGAAAGTCCATTCTCAGAGTTGAYAAGTAAGTTATTCGGCCAGGGCGAGCTTTCAAAGTTTTGTGCCCAGCTCTTCAAAGTCAACCCAGAAACTCCAAACAGGTTTTAAAACATTTCCTACAGTTAGCAAGAATTTGCAAGTCCATTCTCAGAGTTTGCAAGTAAGTTATTCAGCCAGGACGAGCTTTCAAAGTTTTGTGCCCAGCCTTTTAAAGTCAATAGTGCTATAATTATGCAAGTAATTAGCAAGAGTTTGCAAGTAAACAATAATGAAGTTATAAGGGATGGAACCGAGGAAGGGCTAATTTCATGCATCCCTTACTTGTTGTTACTTTACTAATTTGCATACTTTTACAGTTATACCTGACACTTAGTAGCTTACTTTTAAAATAATTTAATGTACTACATTAAATTATTTTAGAATTGTGGGTTGATTAAAATGAATTGAATTTTATTTTGGCAATGGAAAAAATTAGTTGTCTTTTATTCAACAATAATATACTACTTAATATTAATAGACCTACATGGTACTCACTCTTGTGAAAACACTGTCTAGTCCGTAAGACAAAATTATACGTAGATATTACCATTTTTTCCAAAGATATTACACTTGTGCAAGGATACTCRGAAAGTGCACGTGCACGTAAACTTTTTGTATTCAAGGTTAAATACTTAAATCATCTAAAAACACTTTAATAAATTATGGTTCTTTTATTAGTACTAAAATACTCACTGTTGGATGTGAAATTAATGAAGTAACTCACGTTTCCGATTATTTCTAGATTTATTTTAATATAAACGAAAGCCCACGCGTTTAAGGGCAAGTGTGGACTGTATGTTCGACGATTGACGTTTAAGGGCAAGTGTGGACTGTATGTTCGACGATTGAACGGTGACTGGTCGTTATCGGTGGCGGTAGGTA